CAGCTAGACTGCCTGACGACATCGATGTGGAGGCCAATACTAGAACCCGCGAATTGGCCGCGGTTGACTTTTATCGTTACGTGCGATACTGCGAGCATTTACAGCTCCTAGCGTCTATCACGCTATTGGGCTTCTTCCTCTTTCTCGCTTACACCATGTTCACCCACAAAACCTTCTTTTGGTTACTCCTCGCCTCATCAGCCATCGGGGGCTTTTCTGTCTTCAATACTGGATTTTGGAAGGTCTCGGTGTCATGGGAGGCTTTTACCGATGCTTGGCGTTGGTTCGAGCAACACTTTCTCCGACGCACTTAAGCTCATTTCGAGTGGTCGCGACGTTAATCTTATCAGACGTGCGTCAAGCATCACTGGACTACGAAGCCTTCTTCAATGCCTGTGTAATGGAACAGTTATTCGGCTGCTTAAACTAGCCGTCTGCTTTTTTTCGAGCTGTTTGGGACTCGCGATGACTAGCGCCTTACCAATTCTGAGATATATGAAGGCGTCTATGACGCCTTCATAGACTCCGGGCATCAATTCGGCAGAACGATCATTGCTTAATTAAACGCACAATTCGGCGCGCCTGAAGGGCGTTGCGATCTCGGATTCATGGGCGTTCTGTCAATCCGAATCCCAGAATTCTCACTGTCGTCGCAGTTTTGGCGTGCACGATGCTATCATCGCGAGATTGAGGGAGATTTCACTTGCACTTCAGGGTATGTCTTACGTATATGTATGCACAGTGTGAATGACAGAGACATGGTTCGTTTGTAATCCAACATCCCAGTCCATAGGCATTAGAGGCGGAGGTAAAGTGGTTTGCCTTAGTGTAGGGTCCAGGCTTGGATCAAAGGACTCCCGAGAGTCAATATTGTCAGGTGTAGAAGATATTTGACCGCCAGCCGCTCCTACGGTATCGGGGGTATGATGCAAGGCTCCAGGATCGGCGGCAGGAGAGACTTACCTCAACGCCTCAGAAAAGAACGATACGATCACGGATGCTTTGGAGTTTGACTTCTGTCTCTGCCTTTCATTAAGGGTGAGTTCATGACTGGAGAAAGGGAAGCCAGAACGGTCAACAAAATCCACTCGAACGGGCTGAAAAAACGATCAGCAATCAGGATTCTGGTAGAAGCAGCTGGGTGACTTCTCGGATGCTGTTCAATGTTCGATGAACGCCAAAGAACCAAAGAATCAGACATATTCTCCACAACATCAGGATCAGCATGGGACAAGGAGATAGAACATAGACACGAAATATGAGCAGTCGGGCGTCCCTCAACTTCAGGCCTCAGGGCCAACGTACCATGATGCCAGCAGGCCGCCGAGGGCCCTAGCTTTCAAGTTTCCATGTCAGTTGGACCTCTGATCTCCTCTGACCTGCACCCTGAAGTTGCAAAGTCAGGGCTTCTTCGATCGATGCCATAGCAGAAGTTGGATGCACTTGACATATTTGTATACAAATCGTACAGGTGGAGCTCTTGGGAACGCGAGTGGTTGGTGTCTGAAGCAGTCTGAAGCCCGAAGTTGTGCCATCAAAGTCTGCTAATGATAGCCCATGGGTAAGTGTGTCGGATTGATGGACAGGTTTTCCGAGCAGCGTGGTCACAAACACTAAAATAATATTCAGGCCTAACTAGCCTTAACTATCCGAGGAGGAAACAAGGAAATAATCACAGAAGGGCGAGAGCCTGATCCGAAATTCTGGCCCATCCATCGCCGTCTGCGCCGCACTGCGTCCAGTTTCGCAGGAGCAAGTGAAGGCGATCGCGCATACGGTAACCTCAAGGGAGTCTATCTTGAGTCTGCAGATCTGACACGTTGCACAGAAGTTCTTCAGAACGTGGGTGTGCCTTGCTTTGACACGTGGTAATTGTCCAAAATTCAGAGAAATAAGAAATGCCATCATCTGGGCTAGAAGGGAGATAAATTCGCGTTCTGTTTTGTTCGGGTCGCGTCGAATTCAATACACCATAGACCTACACAAAAGAATATACATGTGTAAACTCTGTGGTGCGCAAGGCTATATTTATGGGAATTTCACTCGCCATAATTATCATAACGGCCGATTCGGAAGAAGCTGAGGCGCGTCGCAGTTACTGGACTCGAGTGTGGTCTAGTTGCCGGTTCTCCTCGAGGCGAACGCAATATAAATTGCCGCCTAGGGTTAGTCGTCCAACAGTGTTCGTAATTGTTTTCGATCGAGAAGTACAGAACGTAAAGACGAGACGATTTTGTTGCGCAGAAATGCCGTTGAAGCGACCGACTTAGGCCTCCAGGGTTGATTGAACGAAACACTAGTGCGAGACTGTCGAGAATTCGAAGCGCTATTGAAAGATGGTGTCTTGACCGAGTCAAAATCATCCTCGCGAGAATCAAATTAACGAGGATCCGAAGAGGGGGGATACTTGCGACATCTCGGATGAGTGCTATCCTGAGTGCACGCATCGACGCACTGGAAGTGCTATCAGATTGTCTTGGCCTGTCAAAAAGAGAGAGGAATCCCGATGATCGTACAGCAGCTATGGCTTGCCGAGCGTTGAACGTTGAGCCCTCTAACCTTCACATGCAGAAAATGGATAATGTGAAGCCAGCTAGGCCATCTATGGACGTGAAGTGCACAGGAGTGCTGCCGTCAATGCTACTTTTTTCGTGCATGCCTTCTTTTGAGCACCGGAAGGATAGAACCTCGGCCATACTGCGAGGCGACGTCGGCTGTCTATATCTGAGTGGCATAATCTCATACGAGACGGGGTGCTTGTGACGAAAATCAGAGCTTGAACGTGCGCAGCAGACAAGCGGATCAACTTATCAGATAGAGTGTGGGTATGGATATCCTCGAGAAGCTACCTGCCTGAAACGCAGTCAGCCTGGCGCGCGACATGCGTTCGACATACAGCTGGCAGGGAGACGTACCACGATGGGGACGCGGGAGAGAGCAGCAAATGGTCAGCTGGACGGCCAAGAATTAAATGCGCCCTGTCGCGGACGTACAGCTCACAGAGAAACGCTTGTAGAGAGTCTGGAAAGGGGGGGCCACTAGCAGGGATGATTAAAGAGAATTAATTGAGGCTAGCCCGGTGGCACTAGGCATAGGCACGCTGTGAGCGCAACGGTACTCCCATCATCTATCGATCGGTCCGAGACCGAATCTCTTCCGGGAGAAGCCTCTGTGGCCGGCCGAGGACGCGTCACTAGCCAAATACCGCATGTAGTCTTCCGGCCGAGGCCAAGAGTCCCCACGACGCCCGAGTTCTCCAGCGATACAAAACCTCAGACGACGCACAACCATACTAGACCTAGCGAGGGTGATTGCATCGAATTTAGGGGAGCATCCCGTAGCAACAGGTTTGTAAAACAAGTTACGTTCCAGCAAACAGACAGGAGCGTGGAGGGGTAAAATTTACCGTCAACGCCGGGGTAGCTCTGGCACCGGGATTCGAAGGCAGGGAGCTGGGTACATGTGGGGATTTCGCGACAGAATCCTACATGACGCGGTATTAGGGTGATAGCGCCGTTCTGAGAGTGGGTCGGTGCTGGATGGTTTTGTGCGAGCGTCGACGTCGGAGCTTTAGACTGGTTAGATGAGTGTTCGGATGAGATACTCGGTGATCGAGTCGGGATTCGGATTTACAATTCTTGCTTCTGAGCCTACGGAGAGCCTGGCACGCGCTTAGATCGTGGGTTGGTGGTATAGCTAAGGTTCGCCGTTCAACATGTGTCGAAGATCGCACATAATGTTATTAGTTCAACCCTCGGTCGACTCTTGCATAAGGCATAGCGTCCAAGGCTTATTTTCATTAACAAACTCGACAAACCACACCTGCTGCCAGGCACTAGTAGTTCCCAATACCCCCAGCGAGGATCCACCAAGTGCTTCATCTATTTCCCTATCTTGTTCCAACTCACACAGGTGACATTGATTAGTGCGCACGAGGCTCTGCCCCATTGCACGGACGCACTCGGGCAGCACGGTTTGACACTGGTTTGACTCTGGGCTGGTCCATCTGGTATTCCCTTCCATGTTCTTAGTTTTTAACATACACGGTGGCGCCGATCAGCTTGGAAGTCCGATACCTCAACACAAAGCACGGCAATCCGCGTACGACGCTCCTCGCGCCAGACGCATCCTAGACAAACCCCATGGACCCACGAGCATCTGAGAGCCTGAGACATATGGAACTCAGACGCGCCTTGATTGAACTTTGAACATTTTGGCCTGCGTTTAAAGGGAAGGAAGCGCTTCAATTAAAGACGTCGGGAGGCGCGCCGTGGATACCGAAATGGAACAATTAACGCCTTGCTCTTGCGCCGGGATTCTGGATCAGGGCTAGTCGCTATCCATTCCCATTCATGGACCATGCAGTGCGCGGGCGCGCCCCTTCCTTCTGCTTGCGCTCGACACGATCACGGTACCGAGATTCTGGATCGGGGCTCTGGCTGTCCAGTTACGACTCACGCTCGGGCGTGCCACTCCCTTATTGTCGTACACGTCTATTCACCCTGCCTCACTTATGCCTTTCAACGGCCACGCAGCACAACAGGCGAAACGGGTCGACGATCCACGTTTGGTACCGTGAGTATGGATAGCAACTGTGCGTCAGTTGCACTCGGGGCACCTAGTGTCTTCGGTATCCTCACTCCCCATGTGCACGGGCGGTGGATCGCGTTGAGCTTGCATGTCGCACTCGCTTCTATGCTACACCAGATCTGGGGGCCAGCAGTTCGAACCTGCGTCGACTCATGGAAGCTAAGATTATCGTTTTACACCACTTTCTTCTTGCCGCACATACTCTATCCCTGGTCGACTCAGCCTTTTCGGCGCGCGGACGGTGGACACGTTACATCTGCTTCCACGCCATTGCTATATCTCTATCTGGGGGGACACGGTTCGATCCTGTGTCCGCTCATGCCCGTGTGGAACTGAAAAAGCATCACAACTTTTGGTTTTACTCCGCTTGGCATGTCCGCCTGAACACGGCGTGGTACATCAGAGGCAATGGGTCGATGGCGTAGCCGGTTATCGCATCTGTCTTACATCCAACATCGCCTCAGTGTGTGCACAGAAGGTCCTCAGTTCGAAACTGGGTCGACTCATGACATTCCTGGTTAGTCGTTTTATGCCGTCCGAGAGATAGCACTTCTTCAAGCGTTTGAAATATAATTTTTCGGGGCAACAACATAGGTTTCTCAAATCCTCGCGTCTGTGTTATACATCGCGCTCCGTACACATCATGAAAGCTTGAAATTCTCTCCCCAACTGCGACAGGCTGTGCCCAAGACTTTGAGACACCCCCCCTCTAGAAATGGATCCACGGCACAACAGACTCCCCACCTGCCACAACTTGATGAATACCTCTCTTGATGCTTCTCAGTTCGATTCTGAGTTGTTTCATATAAAGAGAGATCAAAATCCATAGCAAATGTCTCTTTTTTATTCCTCACTTGTACTTATTGTTTCTTTGTCTACATGTTTGCCTGCCTCAAGTTGCATGCCAACACAGGAGGTATGGGTGCGTGGCTAGTTATCGGCACCCTCGGATAGACGAAAGCATGGGGCGGGTTGTCGCATCTGTGCATACCTCAGGCTAATTTCCCTTGTTCTTGTCTGTTCGGAGGCTGCTCAGTTCGAATCTGGGTCGTCGCTTGGTTCGCCATAATAATGTTATTTCTTTGCATCGAGGACGCGGGGGAAATGGGTTTGGGCTATGCCTAAGTATCAGGGAGGCATGGATGATGCAGGAAGCAAATGGGTCGATGGCGTAGCTGGTTATCGCATCTGTCTAACATTGGAGTTGGTATCTTTCGATGTGCACAGAAGGTCCTCAGTTCGAACCTGGGTCGACTCATACAACAGTTCTCGTTTCCTTTTTCCGTCCTCGTCCTACTTTCTGGTATGGAGCACAGAGACCCACCCTTCGAAAGCAGGAAAATGGGTCGATGGCGTAGCTGGTTATCGCATCTGTCTAACATCAGAGAAATATTCACACATGTGCACAGAAGGTCCTCAGCTCGAACCTGGGTCGACTCATATGCCTGTGTCCTTCTTTTTTCCGACCTCGTCCTCCTTTCTGGCATCGACCACACAGACCCACCCCTCGAAAAGAGGCAAATGGGTCGATGGCGTAGCTGGTTATCGCATCTGTCTAACATACCCACCCACTATGGCTACACAGAAGGTCCTCAGTTCGAACCTGGGTCGACTCATAGGCTTATGTCAGAGGATTTTTTTCCGTCCTCGTCCTCCTTTCTGGCATCGAGCACACCGACCCACCCCTCGGAGGGAGGCAAATGGGTCGATGGCGTAGCTGGTTATCGCATCTGTCTAACATCTCCGATTATTCGCAAGTTATATGTGCACAGAAGGTCCTCAGTTCGAACCTGGGTCGACTCATATTGAGTTCACTTTTTGGCTTTCATATCCCGAACACGAAACGCATTCACGTTCAAACTTCATTCAAGCACTCATATGCATACATCCCTTGATTCAGTATAACATTCTTTATATTCTTCTTGTATTCTCCTTTCTTCTTTCCTCTCCGTATGTACGTACATATGGTATCCCCCACCCCCCGCCCCCGCAAACAAGTATAAGTATGTGAGTAAGAAAAGCAAAGAGCGTCGATAAAATGTGCGATAGCGTAGGGGTAAGGACAGAATCCGGTTAAACGTCGGCGATACAGCGATGAGAGTGAGTATGGTAGGGTATGCGATATGAGATCTTGAGATATGTGTGTGAAGGCAGTGGTAGATGGTAGATACAAGCAAAGAGCGTAAGTTCCTAAAGAGCGAATGAGTGTCCGGGTCCGGGGTGAAGGAGCGTGGTGTGGTGGTGGTTGTGGTGGTGTACAGTGTCTTTGATTCTGATTATGTGCGGGGGCAGGGCGAGAGCAAGAAAGGCCTGAGACCCAGCCAGCGGGGGGCAAGAAAACGACTATGAATAAAGAGAGGTAAATCCGGGCACGTCTAGGGGGGTTTGATTTCGATTTTTTGGTGGTCCGGGGCGGGGCTAGCACACGACGGCGACGGGCAGCACGCTCGGGGGGCGCGGGAACGCATACGGCAGCTCCGATTCCGCCAGCTCTCCCTGTGCGTGCGTCTGCGCCTCCACCTCAACGGGCAAGACAGGCAGCACGCGCCCCCGCTCATCCAACCCCCCGCCCCGCGCGCGCTCGTACTCCTCCCGCTCTCGTTCCTCCCGCTCCCGTTCTGCATCCTCCGCCTCCCACCGCCGCCGCTCCTCCTCCCATACAATATCAGGCTCCTGCTCCTGCTCCGCTCCAGCGAGCGTGTACATGCTCTCCCGGACGCCAAACACACTTCTTGTCGGGCTCGGGGTGTACGCGGGGGGCGAGAGGGTGTCCTTCGGCGGGAGCGGGGGCGGGCCCCGGGGGGAGGGCGGGAGGACGAGCATTATGGTTGAGCGTTTGGAGGGTGGGGCTGGGGGAAACTGGGAGGAGGGGTAGGGAGAGGTGGGGGAGGTGACGGGGGACAGGGCCGCGGGGAGCGGGAGGGGGGGCGCGGGGGACTTGGAGCGGAACCCGAAGCGCGTGGAGAGCGCGCGGAGGCCCGTGGTGCGCCTGGAGCGCTTCGCTTTGTCCTTCTTGTCTTTCTGGGGCGTCGGGGGCGCGAGGGTGGGCGCGGCGGAGCAGGGGGTGGTGGGCGCGGTGGAGGGGGTGGGGCAGGAGGTGGGGAAGGCGATGCCGGAGGAGGGGCTCGTGGGGGGGCTCGCGATGCTCGACGTGGAGAGGGAGAAGGACGAGTGCGAGCTCAGCGTGCCCCGCCGCGAGTGCGCGCGCGAGTGGGAGGGGGGGTGCGACGCGAGCGTGCTCATGCTCTGCTGTTTCCGCAGGCCCAGGCCGCCCTGTTTCTGCGCGGCCGCCAGCTCGCGCCGGACGCGGTCGCGGCGGGGCTCGACGGGGGAGAGGGAGAGGGACGCGAGGGAGGGCGTGGGGGAGAGGGAGGGCGTGCTCGCGCGGAAGGTGAGGTCGCCCAGGGAGGCGTCGGGCGCGGCGCCGGGGGCGTCGATGTAGGACTCCTGGGACGCGGAGGGGGAGGGCGCGGGGCTGGAGGAGAGGGGGCGGAGGTGCAGTGTTGGGCGGGGCGCGCGGGGCTTTGGCGGGGGCGGGGGTGGGGGCCGGAGGGAGGAGGCGGAGCTGGAGACGCTGAGCTGGGGCGTGTGCGAGCGGGACTTGGTGTTGAGCACGAGCTCGATGGGCGCGGGGGGGTCGTCCCGCTCGAGGTAGGCCTCGCGCATTACTATTTCTTTGTTTGGGGGCGGAGGGGGGGATGCGAGGAGGGTGCCGGCGCCGATGGAGAGGCGCGATATTATGGAGGTGAAACGTTTGCGCTTTGTGTTTTGGGTGGGGGAACAGGGGGCGGGCGCGGGCACGAGGGTGGGGGAGAGGGGGGGCGGGGAGTGCGCGAGGATGGAGGAGGTCGTGCTCCATCTTGACGAGGTCGGTTCGTTGTTTGATGTAAGAGGGGATGCGGGGGAGGGCGGGGGTCCGAGGTACACTTGGGATGAGACCCGCGGCCTTGGGCGGGGACGCGCGGGGGAGGCGTAGAGATCACGGATGTGGAGCAGTGCGGCGGCGGCGTCGGAGGATGTGGAGGATATTGAGGATATGGAAGCCATGGAGATGGTTGAGGCGCGGGAGTAGGGCGCGGTTGGGGAGTGGAAGAGGAGGGAGGCGTCCTCTGGGTCGAGGTATACGGCATTGCGCGGGTGACTAAGGGATAGAGTGCTGGCGCGCGTGCGGAGGGCGGGCTTGGCGTGCGGGAAGTCCTACGTCGTGTGAGTATATGTAGAGAGAGCACACGAGACAAAACAAACCTTGGACTCTGAGTCACAGAGATTCCTAGGAAAGCCTGGGGTGGGATACCTCAGCGGGTCGTCGGTGGTATCGCACGACTCAAAGCCCAGGACCGGCGAGTCTGCGCGGATGCATACGGTGTTATAGTCGTTGTACCTGTAATTATAATCTTGGGAAGAGAAGGGCTCTGCGAGGTCTCGCAAAGAGAGTGACGACGAGGACGACATTCCATCCATTCAACCGAACCATATCATTTCCTCCCACCTCTATATATGAAGAATACCCTCAACTTCCAATTTTTCCCTTCTTCTCGGCGGCCCTTCCAAACAAAATTATAAACTGAGATCTAAATCTTCCCAAGCAGAAGCTATATCCCCTTCCGTCCTTCTTTCTGCCTATCGCCGGATTTTAGATCCACCCCCCGATTTGGGTAGGGTCGTGCTATCTGTGAACCTGGGATTCCCCACTGCCGTTCCTTCCTTCCTGCTGCCTGCCTGGAATATCCCGTGTTAACGTACCCCCTCCCCCCGCCGAGTCTTAGCAGACGAGACCTCCGTCAAGGTTCTGTCCTCCAGTGCGAGGGCAGCGCATGCAGCTCTTTGGCGAGTCTTCTTGTCAACGAACGTCAACCCCCGCCCCTGCACTCCTCGGGTGCGGGGCCCTTCCTTTTCACTAGTCACTAGTCCGTCTCTGGGCTAAATACAAAAGTTCAACTTGCATCTTGATTGGTTATCATATCTTTGGTCGCGATTGTTGTCATCGCATATGTCATTTGTCAGGTCGCCGTCCCCCAAATCTCCCATCTTCCCATCCCTATGTTCTGGAAATTTGTTTTTGGGAGAGAACGCCGTTATGATGATATGTATGATGTATTGTTGCACTATTTTAGGTGCTCGGTCGAGAGCTTGTTTGACGCTGAACCCCTCTAAATATTCTCTTGGAGACGCCGTGCCTCAAATCCTTCACTCCTCACCGCCCCAACGAACTCCCCACTCACAGTACTTACTTACCAACCCCCAACGAAAATCCCATACCCCTTCGTGATCCCCGTCGACGTCGGCGCCTCGAGGCCCTTACAACCCTACAACCTATGTACGCACATATTAACCCCTACGCCGCTCGCATAAGTAATTTCTGCCAGCCCCACCAATTCTACATTCTAAAGCTTGAAACTCAAATCCAAATCCAAATCCAAATCCAAATCTAGAGCCAAAGTGAAATTATCAATGCACGAGGCGGGTGCTCCTGTCTTCTGTATTTCAATCACGCTTAGACGCGATGCGCGGTTTCCAGCGTTACTGAGCTCTGGCCGTCCTGCCTTCCAATCCGCCTCCAGCGCCATATCGTTCTTCGCATCGGGGCACGCGCAGGGCATGAGGTGCACTACCAGGGCTCCGCCCCACCCCGCCCCAAAGATCCCGTAGCTACCGTCCCTCGTCTTCGCTCCCGTCTCGACAAGCCACAACACGCGCCCCACCCCTGCGTTCCCGAATCGTTCTTCGCGTCGGGGCGTCGATATCGGGGCACGCGCGGGGCATGAGGTGTGCTACTCCTAGCCTCTAGGGCTATGCTCCGCCCCGCCCCAAAATCCCGCAGCTATCGTCTTCGCCCCCGTCTCGACTCAACACGGCCCCCATCCCTGCGTTCTCGAATGCCTGCTACTGCATCCCGTGGCAGGCGCACACGAGGCTGCTGCCATAATTCACAGCTTATGAGGAATTAGCTCCGGTGTCGGCGAAAAGGCGCGAGCCTGCGCCTCGAGGCGTGACGGTATACTTGGGTGTGTGCGTCCCGTGATCGCGTTCGGGGGCACGCTGCGGACTCGGTGCACCGCCTCGTCGCGCGTCCGATGCGAGGATCCTGTGCCCCACGAATACGGGACTCGGGACTTGGGACTTGCCAGTGCATACCCGTCGCGTGTAGGGCGTGCCCGACACACAGGCCCTCAGGATGCAGGACTGCTTCAGACGAACGAACACAGCGCCGATTTCCTCCCGCCGGCACTGCGCGGCGTATCGGCCCAACGCATCTCGGAACCCCGTACTGGCCACCTAGCCTTCTTGAAGCTCGCAACGCCCGAACTACAGAACACAAGGCACTATATGCACCACGTGCATTGACACGGATGCTATCGCTCTTCGAGCATCCCTGTCCCGCCGGCACACCCCTCCCCCGCTAGCGCCTCCGGCCTCGGGAGGGAGGCGCACCCACGCCTACCTGAGCCCTACCAAGTTACGTCTCGTCTGATTCCTGCAGACCGCCCCTGCGCCCCACGTGCCTTAGTGTATAGTATAGTATATAGTGTGCGGGACCCTTGCAAGCGCCCGCCCACCAGCCGCTAGAAGCCTCAGGAGTGCGCACACAACGTGATCGCGCTCTGACCGGGTTCGGACGTTCCAACATCCCTACAGTACTGTCTGTCTGGCCAATTCAATGACGAGAGAACGAGGAAACCGCGTTCCCAGCACGCCCGCGCTCCGGTGTATTGACGCTCCCCCGCGCGCTGACGTGTTCCGCAATTCACTTGTGTGACGATGGTCGGATGTCCCAGCATCGGTGTATATGTAAGTTATGTGTA